TTCCGCCTTGGCCCTGACAAGCTGTAAGAATGATCTGAGCATGAAGGCCTCTAGATGTCCATATATATAAACACACATGATGTCTGATGCTGGCAATGATGTGGCAATAATGCGACAATCAGGCACTTTGTACAATGAATGGTTAACATGGTCAAACACTAATGTCAAGGAGAATCATATCATGTGCCAAGATATTGAGAATCACAGAAAATTTAATAGTAAATTGCACATAAATCAATTCTTTAACAAAAAAAAAATTCAGTCGAAGGATTAAAAAATTTTACCTGAAAAATACAAGATCGATTCAAAATCAGCATCTTTTGACCTTATTTTTCGTACTTATATGTAACAATTATAATTTGACAAAAAAAAAAAAAAAAAAAAAGGGATAATTTTAAACAAATAATTATATTAATTTTTCTAGAGCAGGAAACAGGGGCATAATTTCATAACATTAAATAATTATTTATCTTAGGCATAATTTTATGAATCTGTATCACAATTTTGTGTTTCGTTTCAAAACCGTTATAACTGTAGCAAATCAAATTATAATTGAGTAACCAAAGGCTAAATTTGCAAAGCCAAAAAAGAGAACGTGTGAAGGTAAATCAAAATCACCATCGAAAAATCCATTTTCAACAAAATGATTTGCCATTTGGGAGTACCCAACGAGGAAATTTAAAAGTAACAACAATAATTAGCAAGCATAAAGAAACACATGACAATCGAGAGAAAATGGTAGATATTGTAACCTATATATTGATGGGAAAGATCTTAATAGAAAATAATATCAAAAGGAAAGCAAAGGAACTAGAGACAAACCCCTTCAATTCTTAACAAAGCTTCACAAACAAAATTATGTTTTTTTAACACAATATATTCAAAGATTCTAAGGAAAAATCCTAGAAACCATAATTGAATGAAACTTACAGGGCAGCCTTGATGCTGGCTTAGGAAACAAAGAAATCACAGGATGTAACAGAGTCAACTTTCACGATTTTAGACTTGTTTTGCTGAGCTTGCCAGATGAATATATAAACAAAAGAAACAAATTACTTTTAGGAGATCGTGCAACGAAAAACATAGATTTAAGATTAATATCATATGAATAAAATCAAATCACACAAAGAAGCACAATATTTATGTGGTTCAACATAACTCGCCTACATCCAAGGATGAGAGAAATCTACTATAATTTGATGAACACAATATATAAGAGCACACAACACCATAAACCTGATACAATTAATTGAGCGGAAACAATCCTACCTTCTAACCACTCTTAACCCAATACCTAGAGTGGAAACAATCCCAATTTCTAAGACACTCCCCCCGTGGTGTTTAATAACCTTTACATCAAATACCCTGTGTTATCATATTCTCTCATAACCTTGAATTGGTTCTCACAATTACATTTATAGGTAGGATATGAGATATTTTTATTATAATAGGATTCATATTTAAATTCCTAATAGGACTCTTAATTTATATTCCTATTTACAATTGCCATTCTTGATTAAATAATTTTCCTCAAGACATAAAATTTCACATGGGAACAAATAGGAAAGCAAGCCACAATATCTCAACAATATCCACCTTGGCGAGTTTTCCATCATAGTGACGAATGTGAGAGTTTTCCATCACAGTGATGAACATGATGAAGATAATGCTTCACCATCATGGCACCTAGGTCATAGAATAACCATGTCGAATTTTGCTAGCATCCAGGTTACATAGTAACCATGACAAATTTTACTACCAAGATTTGAGAAACTCCACCGACAACTCAAACCTGTTGTAGTTAGTCTCTTCTGTGCATTCACCATCTTGAAAGAACTTATCTCTCAGGTCGCAACTTGGAGCTTTGAAACCACTTGTTAGGAAATCACAGTGGAAAACATAGATTCGAGATTAATAATGTACAAATAAAATCATACCACACAAAGAGACAATATTTACGTGGTTCGACATAACGTGCCTACATCCACGGATGAGAGAAATCCACTATAGTTCTATGAACACAATATACACGAGTACATAACACCATAAACTTGGTACAATTAATAGAGCGAAAACACTCATAGTTTCTAACCACGTTCAACCCAATACCTAGAGTGGAGATAATCCCAGTTTCTAAGACATTCTCCCCATGATGTTTAGTAACCCTTACATCAAATACTTTGTATTCTCACATTCTCTCATAACCTTGAATTGGTTTTCACCCTTATATTTATAGGTAAAATATGAGATATTCTAATTCTAATAGGATTCATATTTCAGTTCCTAATAGGACTCCTAATTTCTATTCCTATTTACAATTGTATCTTTTATTACATAGTTTTCCTAAAGACAAACAATTTCACATGGGAACAAATAGGAAAGCGAGCCACAATATCCCAACAGTTACTTCCTAGTTTACCTTGTAGAATAAGAACTATAGATTAGAAGAAATTGGTGCATTAAGATGGAAAACCAACATAACTCAAATGCACATAACTCTTTCAAGAGAGCTCTATTCATCTTTTCTAACATTTTTTTTAAGGTATGGTAATGCCTCTCTTGCAGTTCGAGCACAAGACCACTGGATATAGCTAAACCTAGTGTCTAAAGGGCTTGCCATTCAGTCACAAGGGGTAAGATTTTTTTCTAGCATTTTTGCAATGCCTAAGTTTCATTGTATTATGTTGTTATATGATGACAATAATTCCACAAAATTCACAAAATAAAATTTGAGAAATAATATAAAAGGATAACAGTTTGTGTACATTCTTCTTCTTCTTCTTCTTCTTTGCTTCACAATTCTATGTAGCTAGGTTTTCATTCAATTGGTTCTTGTATTTTCTAACTTTGGTTAAGTTCAGTAGTCCAAGGATCTAAACGAGATGATTTTACTTTGTGTGTTTTAACAAGGCATTAATAGAGATATAGTGTATTATACAACAAAAGTAATAAAATCCATTTATTTTCAGACAATGTTCTTATTTAGTATGCTTTTCTCTCCTTTTATTCCTTATTTTGAGCTTTCCTTTATTCTAGATGTAAGTAATTTTGTCAACTTATGAAGTTTGTGTGTGCACATTCATTTCTGATGTCTACACATCCTTTTGATTAAAGCACAATTGTTTCTTCAGTTTACACATGTCATGACATTCTGAATTGATGTGTGCACATTCCATTAGTCTGTTTTCATTGCATAATGTGTGGCCACATTAGAGTTAGATGTGTCAATAATCGTCTAGTTAGACTTTAATACATATATTGTGTTTTCATTAGCTATTAGGATTTTATCTAGAACTGAAATATGCATGAGTGGTCCATTTACAAGTGTCAAATATTTCAGATGTGGTCCTAAAAATTTGTTTTATTTTTCAAAAGTGGTCCTAACAAGTTGTTGAAAACTTTCCCAAAATAGCCAAACATATGTAAGGCTTTGTCGACTGATTGTCTAAGGGTTTCTTGAGCAAGGATTCTTTATAATCTTCTTCATCCTTGCATTTGCACTTGAACCTGAATATTCCTCTTATTATTCTCTGAAAATCTGTTAAGGTTTTATTCTGTTTGGTCAGGTTCCTTTGTTGCTTTGTTAAGCTCAAAACACATTACCAACCTTTGTTGTATGAGTGTTGTTGGAACATGGTTCCCTTGATGAAAGCTTGAAAGGAGTTCAAGCTGTGGAGCTGGACGATGTCTTTGGTGTTGACGCATGAGTGGAGCTTGAGCTATCCAAGAGGTGTCTTGGATTCAAGCAAGCTGTGGCAAGATAGTGGATCATCCAAAGGGTGATTATGAAAGCAGGGAGTGTTTTATAGTTGATTGCTTAACTTCAACTTTGTAAACGAACCTTGAATGTTTGCTATTGAATGACTTTGGAATCAAGAACCAAAGAAAATAGAACGACTAAAGAAGCGAATTCTGGAAAAAGTTAGTTGTAATATTCTAACTGAATTCAATGAATGTACACGAAGATGACTAGCTTGTTTTATATCAAGCCATAATATCAAAACGGTAGTGTTTTGATGTTTAAGAGTCTACTTTTCAAGGTACACCCTACTTTTGCTTTCTTACAAAATACACCCCATAACCATTTTACAAAGTAACCTGAGCTATTCTTAACTTCCACAATCTCATCTTATTATACTAAGATTTCCCCTTAAACTAGACATAGTAATGTACTAGCATACACCAATATTTCCCCTTAAACTTGACCTCATAATGTACCATCATATGCTAATATTTCCCTTTAAGATGAACCTCATTTTATAGTCTTCAAGGTGCAATCACTACAAGTCTAATCAGCAAATGTTTCAAGTGCAGTAGTTAACACTAAGACACATAAGGAGAAAATATGCCACAGTAGGAAACTTAGGCACAAGAGCACCAGAATCACCAGTTCTTCATGAATTCAAGAATTAGAATTAGTAATTCAATAGTTGCTTTGTTGCTTTTAAGCTTGACTCTGAGAAAAAGTCTTTAGGGGACCCATCAAGAGAAGCTACTACTTCCAGAATCAAAATGGAACTTGATAGAATCTTGGGGACTTCTCAAGAGCAGCTACTGCTTCCAGAATCAGAATGAAACTTGATAGAATCTTCATCTTCAGTGAGCAAACTACTATCTTTATGAAGGCCTTTATCTAACTCATTATCAACCTTAGCAATTACCTTTAACTTGGCTTAGAGAGTTTGAAACTTGGAACTTGGAAGTGCCTTGGTCAGAATATCTGCAACTTGATATTATGTACAACATATTGAACACATATCTTTTTTTCTACGACTAATTCTCGAACATACCACACATCTATTTCAATGTGCTTAGTGCATGCATGGAAAATATGGTTTAAAGAGAGAGCACCAGCACTCATATTGTCACACCACAAAAACAAGAGTGTTATTAATAGTTATACCAAGTTCTTGAAACAAGTGTTGAATCCAAACCAATTCAGTGGCTGCTTGACTAAAAGCTCTATATTCAGCCTCTGTTGAAGATAAAGAAACAACCTTCTACTTCCTAGAAACCCATTGTACTAGATTTCTTCCAAGGAAGATGCTATACCCATTAGTTGATCTCCTATCACTTACATCACTAGCCCAATCTGCATCAGCATATCCTTCAAGGATGAATTCTGAGTTTTTCTGAAAAATAAGTCTATGTGAAAGAGTTCCCTTGATGTAGCGGAGAACTCTTTTACAAGCAGTCCAATGTGCAATGGTGGGAGGCTGAAGAAATTGACTTAGGCGATTGACAGAGAAAGCCAAATCAGGCCTGGAAAGGGTAAGGTACTGCAGACCACCTACAATGCTACGGTAAAGTGAAGGTTGGTCATAAAAAGCCTTATCTTCTTCCCCTAATTTCACACTTGTTGCCATTGGTGTATTCCAAGGTTTGCAATCAATCATTCCAACTCTAATCAATAAGTCTTAAGCATACTTAGACTGAGTAAGGTGTAATCCTGAATCATTGCGATTAACCTCAAAGCCAAGGAAATATTCCAGCACACCAAGATGTTTAAGAGAAAATTGTTTGTTCAAGTCTTGAATAATCTGAGAAATGAGAGTGGGGTCAGTACCTATGATGAGAATATCATCAACATATACCAATAGGTATATCACTTGATGGTCTCTCTTGTAGAAGAAAAGACTAGTGTTAGATACAGAATTTGTGAATCCCTAACAAGCTAACACATGTTTTAGTTTGTCAAACCAAGCTCTAGGAGCTTGTTTTGGCCCATACAAGGCTTTATGCAGCTTGCACACATGCTTAGGACAGGTTAAATTAACAAAACCTTCTGGTTGTTGTGTTGTTGGGATTCATGCATTTTGGACATGGAAAAGGTGTAGAAATGATCGACAAGTTGATGGATGCAAGGTAGAACACAAACATAACACATAAGCCCAAAAAAAATTCAAGGTAAGGATGAAATATTACCTACTCCTTTGCTATTCAACATTTGAATTTTCTTTCTTGGAGTCTTAGTTCTTCAAGTGGACTTGAATAACCTCAAAATTTGATCCACACAAGTCAAGGAAAAGAGAGCCGAGAGAGTGACAGAGAAAATGAGAGAGGTATTTTTGTTTCAATGGATTCAACTGAATTAAAATGGTATAAAACTTAATTTATATACCATGGGCACAAAGTGTAATTTTAATTTTTTTTGGGAAGGCCTCAAACAATTTAAAATTAACTTGAGAATAAACATTTATGTCAAGTCCTTGGTTTTATGGTTAATTCAAAATTGTACCAAATTTTAATTCCATTAAATATTCTAACCTTTTAGAATAAAACCAATGCATTTTTGCCCCATCATTGAATCCAATCCAATAATAATATTTAATAAATCCTTATTACCCTCGGTTAGTGCTAGCTATCCATGGATAATCATTTCTCACCAATACATTAATTCAGATGCAACCATTTACGTCTGAACATCATTAATCTGATTAATGATATGTATTAGTCTCTCTCTTTGAGCTTGGTTTTATGTGTGACCATTTTGGTTCACTGTGATCTAGCTGTGGGCCCAATATCTGATTTTGATATGTTTCGTTATAATTCTTTATAATCGAAACTCCCACTGATTATGGTAGACGTCTAGCAATGTTCCATAACCCCTAAACCACAATGAAGCGTAAACTCCAATAAACATATTCTGATCCTACGTACCATGTTGTCAAATCCCTCTGTTATCTAATCTTGATTAAAAATGGTTCATGGTATGTCAAAGCCATTAACTTAATCTTTAATTGAATTGTCAATGGATACAATGGAACTCGTCAACATGAAGCTACTTTTCATCTGACATTCATTATACTCTAGCCAGAGATTTCCCTTTTCTAATATTTATTGACATTCGTTTGGGAACTCGAGATTGGACTATTTTGAGTTAACGGATCCCATCTTAATCGTCACTTGTCCTTGCACATGAATAACATATGACCAAGCCGACTTATTACACAAGACATGACTAGTCTTGCACTTATACACCATATGAACCATATGCATCCTATGTTGAATCCAACCATGATGTCTCAGGTCAAAGGATCAGTGGTACACTAGCACGATCCTATGATAAATCATTGACCATATCCATGTGATTCATCGTAATCGTTCGTATTCAACAAACAGTTCACTAATCGTTTATCCATGCTAATGCCTTAGTGACATACCTCTTATAATCACCCACACTAATACCAACACATGATATTCAATGGAGACATTTAGCATGCCTACTATACAATGTTATTGCCCAATTAACATTACTTTCATAGGGAATTCTTTGATGATTTGATTTTCTGAAGATCCATGTCATCCAGACATTTCACATGCAGATATTAAATATAATGTAATATAAATGAAGTAGAAAATCAACATGTGAAATAAGAACACTTTCTTTTATTCATAATACATTTACAAGACCGACAACACGATTGATTCCTAGGGCATACACTAACAAAACTCCCACTTGCACTAGAGTCAATCGCTATGGTATCCAATACCCATATTCTCAAGATGATAGTCCAACTGCTTCTGTGTCATCGCTTTAGTGAGTGGGTCAGCTACATTCTCTACTGAAGGTGTTTTTTGTACCAAAATTTCTCCCGCTCCAACGAATTCTCTCAAAATGTGATATGTACGTTGATTATGTTTTGACTTCTGGTGTGCTCTTGGCTTATTTGCCTGTGCAATAGCACTAGTATTGTCATAGTACAAGGTTATTGGATAAACCATGTTTGGAGCCACACCAAGTTCAATTAGCTTCCTTTGCTGCTTCTGAAGTAGCAATGTATTCAACTTCAGTTGTGGAATCGACAGTAGTTGATTGTTTAGAACTCTTCCAACTGACTGCTCCTCCATTGCATATGAAAATGAACTCGGATGTAGACTTTCTATCATCCATATCTGATTGAAAATCAGAATCAGAGTATCCTTCAATTTTTAACTTTGAACCTCCATAACTTAGTATTAGATCCTTAGTTTTTCTTAAGTACTTAATGATCGTCTTAACAGCTAACCAGTGTTTTTCCCTTGGGTCAGACTGATATCTACTTGTAACACTAACAGCATATGCAATATCAGGCCTAGTACATAGCATAGCGTACATGAGACTACCTATGACTGAAGCATAGGGTATTCCACGCATTCGCTTATGCTCTTGATTAGTCTTTGGACTCATATCTTTTGAAAGATGAATTTCGTGACTGCAAGGCAAAATTCCCCTTTTGCAGTCTTGCATGCCGAACCATTTCAGCATCTTTTCTATGTACATCTTCTGGGATAAGCGTATTAATCCTTTCATTCTATCTCTATAGATATGAATTCCTAGGATGTAGGTCACTTCTCCTAAGTCTTTCATGGAGAAAGTTTCGGATAACCACAACTTAACTTCAGTCATCATCCCAACGTTATTTCCCGTCAATAGTATGTCATCTACATACAGTATGAGAAATATCATTGCATGATCCTTTGTCCATTTATAAACACAGGGTTCATCCGGATTCTTTATAAAACAAAACGTTTTGATTATTTCATCAAACCGGATGTTCCAGCTTCTTGAAGCTTGTTTTAACCCGTAAATGGATTTATGCAGCTTGTACACTTTATTTCTTTCAGAACTAGATACAAAACCTACAAGTTGTTGCATGTAGATATTTTCCTCAATAAATCCATTGAGGAATGTTGTTTTGACATCCATTTGCCATATCTCATAATCATAGTGTGCAGCTATGGCCAGCATAGATTTAAGCATAATGACTGGTGAGAAAGTTTCCTCATAATCTAACCCTTGTTTCTAAGTATAACCTTTCGCAACCAGTCTTGCTTTGTAGGTCTCTACGTTTCCATCTTTGCTAATCTTTCTCTTGAAGATCCATTTACATCCAATAGGAACTATTCCTTCTGGAGGATCAACGAGAGTCCATACTTGATTAGCATGCATAGATTCTATCTCAGAATTCATAGCTTCTAGCCATTTTCTAGAATTGATATCTAATATTGCTTCTTCATAACATCTAGGATCATCCCCATGACTGACTTCTCCAATCATGATAAATTCAAAAATCTCTTCATGAAGTAACCGATATCTTTTCGGAGGTCGAGATACTCTAGATGATTTACGAAGCTAAATTGTTTTAGTTATCAAGGTTTCCTGAGAAGGACCACCCATCTGAGTATTTTCAGTCTGAGGCTCCCTAGACTCTTCCTAGATTACAATTTTTCTTTTTGCTCCAACTTATTCTAAGAACTCTTTCTCAAGAAAGTGTGCATTCGTGCTTATCAAATTTCGTTGATCAGTGTGGAAGTAAAAACAATATCCCAAACTATTTTGGGATACCCTATAAACTGACCTTTCTCAGATCTAACGTCCAACTTATCTATCTCGACAATCTTGACATAAGCTGGACAACCCCAAATTCTCATATATTTGAGACTAGGAGGTTTACCATACCACATCTCATATGGTGTCATCTTAATAGATTTAGATGGTAACCTATTCAGAATATGCAGAACGAATTCAAGGGCAAATCCCCATAGTGACGTTGCCAAGTTCGTAAAACTTACCATCAACCGTACCATATCCAATAAAGTACGGTTCTTCCTTTCAGACACACTGTTATGTTGCAACGTATTTAGAGGAGTCAACTGAGATATTATACCATTCTCCTTTAGAAAATCTCAAAATTTTGTACTTAAGTATTCACCACCACGATTTGATCACAGAGACTTAATACTTTTTCCGGTCTGTTTCTCTACTTCATTCTTAAGCTCTTTGAACTTTTCAAAGGATTCAGATTTGTATTTCATTAAATACAAATACCTGTACCTAGAATAATCATCGGTAAAGGTAATGAAGTATTGAAAACCTCCTTGAGCCATTTCATTAAATGGTCCGCATACATTTGAATGTACAACCTCTAATAATTCTTTGGATCTTTACCCTTTACCCTTAAAGGATGATTTGGTTATTTTTCCTTGAAGACAGGATTCACAAGTTGGATTGTTTTCTGAGCCTAATGGGCTTAAAAGCTTATTTGCTTCTAACTTGATGATCCATTTATCTCCTATATGACCTAATCGATGATGCCAAAGTAATTTTGGATTAATTTCATTTTGAGATCTCTTATTTGTAATGGTATTCATTATGTCATGCTCATTCATTAACAAAACATGCGAACCATTTGCATTAATTACTTTGCCCACTAATTCATTTCCAAAATAAATTAGACATTCATTTCCATTACACTGTATTTCGTAACCATATTTACATAAAATAGAAATAAAAATGAGATTTCTAATTGCTTTGGCAAAATACAAAGTTTTGTACAAATACAAAATGTGACTTGATAGCAATGTCAAATGGCAAGTCCTCACTGCCTCGGCCACAACTTTTGCTCCACTTGCCATCTTCAAAATTACCTCACCTTTTAACAGTGCAAAACTATTCCGCAGTGCTTGCAATGAAACACAAATTTGAGATGTAGCAGCTGAATCTAATATCCAAGAATGATCATGTGAACTAACATTTAATTCATATTCTATAACATAAGAATGGAACATACCTAGTGGAGCTTTCTTCAAGTTCTTCAGATAAAGAGGACAATTCCTTTTCCAATGTCCATCTTTCTTGCAGTGGAAACACTGGCCTTTATCATTGACCTTTTCTTGCCCTTCTTAATCTTAGAAGCACCCTTCTTAAAAGGCCTTTTCCGTGGTCCAACTTTTGGACCTTTCTTTTGCTTCCACTGCTTCTGCTTAGTCTTACTAGAAGAAGCTGTAAAAACATCCTCTTGCCCCTTTTCCTTTCTTCCCTACTTATAGAACTGTTGAATCTCATTCGATAGTTCTGCAAGAGTGCACTCAATCCTATTGAGATTATAATTTGTGATGAAGGGCTTGAAACTTGGTGGAAGGGATTGCAGAATCAAATTCACCTCAAGACTGTGAGGCCTTACAATCTCAAGTGTACGTAATTGCCCTATAATATTACTGATTTTCATAACATGATCATCTGGCGCAACTCCCTCCCTAAGCCTCATTCTGAATAGTGTTGAACATAATCTGTATTGCTTCACCACTGAGTTCTCACCATACAACTCTTGTAAATGGATCATTATCTCATTCGCACTTTCCATCTTTTCATGCTCAACCTGCAGCTGAACATTCATTGATGCTAGCATGTAGGTTCGAGCTCATAAGTCATCCTCCGGCCACTTATCGAAAACTTCCTTTTCTTGTGGTGTGGCATTAGGACATAAAGAAAGTGGAAGGGGTGCTTCCAAGACATACTCGACCTTTTCGGAATTGAGAATAATTCTCAAAATCCTTAACCAATTATTAAAATTAGGTTCGATTAGCATGTTGTTATCGAGAATCACAGAATACCGAAAGAGACTGCAAGGAAAAATATAAGTTTTATTAGTGTCTTGTAAATTCAAACCCTTTAATGCTAATCTTATTAGCTCCCACTATTTTATTCAAATCCCATACTCCCCTAAATGATGATTTGGAAATTTCATTGGAATAAATTTCTAGTAGGGAATCAAATTCTTATTAAATTTAATTAAACCTCACATAATAGAAATCTTGGTACCCTAGACTAGTTAAATCCAACCCATTATGCTTTCTTGAAATAGAATTCCCATTATACCCTCACATAATAGAAATCTTGGGTATTATGAAAATTTCTATCCAAGAACTCAGACAATTAATTCCATGTCATAAAATTAGCATCCCTCACATAATAGAAATCTTGGGATCTCTAATTTTATGCTAAAGAATTAATTGGCCCATAATGGAAGGCTTGGATCTAATATTGTTTGTTAGGGAGATTATTAGGTTTAACCTTTGATTAAAAATGTTTTACATTTATCACATACATTAATTCAAATGCATCCATATAAATATAAAACATGGTGGGTGACAGGCTATTCGCAAGTGTACAAAATCGTGCAAGTAGTAAAACTCGAGTAAACGAGTGTCGAATCCCAAGGGAACTACCTACCAAGTACCATACTATTATATTCTATTGCTATTTGATTAAACTGAAGTTAAGAATGAATTTATGAAAAAATAAATAAAAACACTAAAAATTAAGTACTGAATAAAAGTAGAACTTGTAAACACTTTGAAGTAAAAATCATATGACTAAACCTAGGGCATAGATTTCGCACCAATTTAATCCTATGTATTGATATTTGTTATTAACCTAATTAAGCCATTCTAAAAGCCAATCCCTAATATTCACTAACTCTCTCTCGAGCAATTAGTAAATTAACCCTTAGCAACAACCCAAGTATCTCTAAATGATTTAGGAGCTAAGAGATCATTAAGATCTATGGAATTTTCCGGAGCCTCACAGATCGCGGTAACTATCTCTAGCGTTCGCTCAATCTATGGTTTTATTACCTTAGACAAATTAGGTTTCATCTCTCGATCTCAACCCAACCCATGATATCATTCAACCTCAGATCCTTAAGAATTGAAAGCATTACACACAATAATAAAACTTAGAATAATGTTCAATAAGAATTAACACAATAAAGTCACACACTATTCAAATTGGGCTACATCTTTAGCCTAGAAAGAGAATTAGTTCATAAATACAGTAATGAAAACAACCATTATATTCAATAAAATGAGTTCAAGAATGGAAAATAGAAACACTCTCTAATTTGTGAACAAGAATCGCAAGAATTCCGATCTCCAAAGTAGTGGCCGTCCTTTTTCCTTCTTAAATCCCCTTTTAACTTCTTAAAGACTCCTTTTCCCTAGGTTCTGGTTCTGGTCAGCTTAGGAAAAATATTAGAAAACTTGCCCATTCAATTCAGATAGGGTAATGAATTAACACAAACCGTGACCCATCGCCGGCGGTAAGAATGATCACCGCAGCGATCGTTCCTCATCCAAAGCATCTGTAAAATTCAGAATTAGATGAAGTAATCAACACAAACATTGTAGCTCTTTGAATAGCTTTCCAACGCCACCAAATGTCAAATTCTGACTTCTACAGCTCAAGTTATGATAGAAAAATCGGGCATACTCATGATGAAGAATTTCCAGATTTTCCGTAACATCTTCGACGTACACAACCTCATTTCGACCCTGATTTTGTGCCGTTGTTCCTACGCGTCGTGAATCTATCGATACATTCTTTTCCCTTCAACAACCTGTTTGAGCCTGAAAACAATAAAGTGCACCCGTGATCCATAAATGGTATTTATGAAAGAATAATCTAAATTCCACATTTTAAGCACATTTTTCCATAAATAA